AAATAAGTCTTCTAAAACAAAGCATGAAAAACAAATTTTTATACCAACTAAGCTAATTTTTATACCAACTAAGCTAATTTTTATACCAACTAAGCTAATTTAACACTTACAGTGCCAATAATGGTATTTATATGGTGTCAGATTAGACTTCTTTCTATAAACAGTAATTTGCAACAAACTAATGAAATCAATACATAATCCTTGAAGTTCATGTTTTAAAAGTTATAAAACCAACAATATGGCAAATAAAAACAAAATCTCTCCAACCCCTAACACAAAACTGTCAAAAAATTTTTTTAAAAGAAGAAGAAAAATAAAATAAAGAAGGAAGTGCTTATTATTTTGTGTGCTTAATCAACTGTAATCATTTTTTATACATTATTATACCTATGGACCAAAGAAGAAAAATGTAATATATTCCCAGAAACTAAATTGTAAACAATATTAGTGAATAGCTAGTTTTACAAAAAGGGATTCTTTGTTGCTGTACAGTTCAAAAAGATATAAAATTAACCAGAGACAAATACAGTAGATGACTTGGTATTTGCAAGTGATCAACAGGATATTAAATTTAATGGAGGCTTTAACAAACCTCCACTGAGAAACTTGGAATTCAAAGATTTTTCTATCTTACCTTATCAGCACAATTGTGATATCATTTTGAATTTAATGGCTCAAAAGAGCCAACCAGAAATACATCAGAAAAATGTTTACACCCTTGTAGGAAGGATATTTTTTAAGAATATATAGGGCTCAAGACTAAATTCCAACGAATGAACTGGTTGGATCTATTGAAAAAAAACTATTCTATTGACTAAATTAATCACTAGTTTAATAAGAGCTATGTTTGGAATTAGATCCATTATAAAATAAATTGTTTAGATTTCATAAATTTCTCAAAATATTCTTTTATACCTGGAAAATACACACAGATACACACACACACACACACACACACACACACACACACACACACCCCTACTTCTAATCAAAGCTAAGACCTTATTAAAGGTTCTTTGAAAGTATTACTTTAAACTGACACACAAACCTGTTCTTTGTTCTTCCCTACTGGCAATATTAACTGATGTTATATATTAACTTCAACGTAAAGTGGTTTGAAGTGGGGTATATAATTACATGTATTAAAAAAAGTTCATCATAAAAACAGGCAAAAATACAATATTTTACCTAAATAAGGTTGAAAACTGTGGTCTAAATATGTTGGATAATTAAGAATTTTTGAGAAAAACGATATAAAATTCTTATAAGAAATAGATTTTCATTACCTTTCCCAAATGCCTTTCACATGAACTTAATCTATCTTAGTATTTTAATCATGATGCTTACCTTGATAGAATCATGACTGTTAAATATCTCTGTATATACTTATGTATGTATAATTTCTCACCTTTCTTAGAAATTAAAAAGGGGAAATGCCTCATTAGGTTTAACTAGCAACAGACATTATTCAAGTGGGTTTTTCTCTTTGATTTTTTCCCCTGTTTTTGAAGTCTTGAATTTGTTTTTGAGTTTGATGAAAATATGAGTGCATAAATATTAATGGAAAAGATTAGTATCTTTCATATAAATGTTGATAACACAAGATTATGGATATTAAGAATTTTATTAAATGCTGAATTTCATTTCTTAAAGCATGAATTCAATAGAGAAAAATATCATAATTTGTCTTGTCCACACTGTTATGATTTTGATTCAGTGTCTCTGGTTCCTAAGCATGCAAGTGTTAAAAATAACCACATCCCACCCCAGTTTTAATTTTATGCTTCTGGATACTTTGGATTAAGAAACGGTAAGCCCAAGGTTCCCATAAGACCTCAATTAAAAAGAAAATAAGTGCACTACAGGGTAGCAATCAGTCAACTCATAACTCTCTTGAAATTCTGAATCTTTTTATAGGAAAAAAATCTGAGAATTACTTCAAACATATGCAGATGGATATAGGAATGCCAGAAGACTAATAACAAGAACACCAGTATAATAAAGCTATTAATATGGTCCCAAAGTTCAAAATAAGTCATAAAAATGTTGATGTTTCACAGGCATTGTCTGAGGGTAACAAGTATGAAGCATTTGAAAAAAAATTCTTAATAGATAATGAAGAGCCATGACTTTGCAGAAGGTGGACCTGAGCTACTTCCCTTATCCTCCCATTGGAATGATGACAGGCTGTGTCAAAGTACAACATCCATAGGCTCCATAGAGCTTCTCTGCCCTTTTAGAACCTATGATATTATGGCAGAGTTGAGTTCCTTCAACCAGCAATATGAAAAGAGCCACATCATAAAAACTTTATTTATATATATATATACACACACACATATATATGTGTATATATATATACACACATATATATATGTATATATACCAAAAACTGTGAGTGAAGTAATAGCTTTTGTGCTCTTTTTAAACAAACTATGAACTATTCAAAAAAACTGGAAATGTGGCTCAGGGGGATCATTTATCCAAACCTGAGATAAATTCGAAATAGAGAGATCCCTGAAAAGACTACTAAACATGAAGATTGGCACTTTAAAAATCACTGAAGTTTAAAAAAAATTATTAGATGGTTCTATATTAGTTCCATTTTATATTCAAACAAATAGAAACATAAATAGAAGAAAAGAGCAAAACAGTCACCCTCTTAGCACACTCACGATCTCATAGCTCAATAGACAACTCTCAGTGCTAAATTAAGTTATAAATTACATTTGGTCTTTTATTTAAAGTCTTTATAAGAATGAGATGCACTTTGATTTTCAACTGAATTCTGTGGATGTGATGTGAGTGGTAGTGACACCATCCAGATGGCATGGCTAATAGTAGGAGGTAAAAAATTTTTGTTGAACAAATATTACCTTAATCAGAGCAGTAACTATACAATAATGAGATTATATCTCTATATATGTACATGTATTTATCTACATTTTGTACATACCATAACTCTTTATGTCAATATACAGCTGCATAAAATAGTCATAATATTATGGGCCAAAGAGACAATTGTTAGTTTATTAAAAATGTTTCCCAAAAAATTAATCTTATTTTAATAAATCCATGTAACTTTTTTGTGTTTTTAAAATGATTTATGGAAGGGAGAATAATTGTAAAGACTCTGCTTCTATAATTTAAAATCCTTTTCCATGGAGCATCCTCCCTCTCTCCAGCAAGACTAAAAGCCCCTTTCAATTTATATAAACTCTAAAAGATTAAGAAGTGTGTAAGAAAAAATTCCACGAAAGTAAGAGAAATAATAGAAAATCCTGATCCACATTATTGGAATATCTCAACCGTCAGGATATCATTAGGCTCAAATTAGATTTTAACAGTTGAAAGTAAAAATAAAGATAACAATAATGATAACTTTTCTGGTCAATCTACCATAAATTTTAATAAAACAGGTACCATCAATGCAGGTGCAGCCTTTTGCCAAAGGTATAGATGAGTCTTTTCTGTTGTCCTACAGAAACTGCTATTCACAAATACTTTTACATATGTACATATTTATAAATTTATAATGTATAGTCACACATTAAGGGGGAAATGCAGAACTTATAAGAACAATATTTAAAGTGTCTAACAACACATACCATACAAAGCATTTTTTATTGCTTGTCTTCAGGCATTGTGTACTGTCTTAGACTACCACACCCTTCCGCAAACAGCCCAGAAGAGCTATGATATATTTAAATGTGTAAGAAAATAGGTTAGCTTCCATTCCAGTGTATGAATAAAGTGCACTTTTAAAAACAATTTAGATGACAAAGAAGTTACTTTTGGAAGGGAATTAAAGAAATACATTAATTGGCTCATGTAACAAATTTATTTTATTAAGGATTATGGATTACTTTTCGTGAGGGAATTTTTAATGTCAAGGCTGTCTTCACCGCAAATTCTGTTAATAATATGCATTTGTGACCTTGGTATTAATACAATCATGCAAAGCACATAACAGAATCACACTGAAACAAAAGAAAATGAAAAAAAATAAAATTTAAACGAGGCAAAGAAATAGCAGTTTTTGTTGTGATTTTGCTTATTTCCATAAGATACTCCTTTTATTGATTTTATGAACATACCTATTTATGCACTATACTGAAATACTGTACAAAACTGCAAGAAATGCCACTATTTGACTACTTACGTTTCTACAAAAACACCATCATATAGGTGTATCTATTAGTAAAAGTCAACTAATAACTGCTAATGTATATGTGAGTCAAAAGGATTTTAAGTTTGCCCAAAATGTTGAATCTAGGCATGAGACACAACTATTAATTTCTATTAACATATTTCAGGGACATAAAGAGTATTTTTTAAATACTGAAAGGAAAATGAATTTTACTCATTAATAATTAGTAATTATATAAAATTGAAAATTGTGGTTTCTAATTTAGCTACATGTTTGTGTGTGTATCCTAATTGAGCTAATTGTGTGTGTGCGTGTGTGTGTGTGTGTGTGTGTGTGTGATGTCTGTGCATGTGAACTAATCCTCAATCTGTTGGTGATGCTTTAAAGTTTCAGTTTAAAAATGTTCAACTCTTACCAAAACCTCTTCAGGTATACAAAGCTGCAAATTTGAGTCAGAGAAATTTAAAGTTGCAATTTACAAAAGCAGATTTACATTAATTCTTATCTGAAAGAGCTGCTTTCAAGACAGAAAAATGTGCCAATTAACTGCCCTTTCCTTTGTAATTAGTGGCTTCTGAGTCCTGATGAAAAGAAGCCTTAAGGCAGAATTTGCAGTAAACAGGAAAGGAGAGAATCATAGAAGTGCTTATATATATTCTGTGACACCTATGAATTCTCATTGATGGGAGTTTTTGGCACAATTTTCTAATCCAGTATGAATGTTGTTCCACAGCAGCCAAACTGGATGTTTTTTCCAGTCTCCAGCACCAAGAAAATTTAGCTGATCAATTTCAATACAACACATACTGGAAAGAGTAAGACCTAGTTATTGTCTTTTTTTTTTTTTAATTTAAGGTAGTTTCCAATGATTAAAATAATCTGTAGGATTTCAATTATTACTTTCAAATAAACTCTAATGCTAAAAATGTCATGTCCACGACATTCCAATAGTTATTAAATTCTAGGCATAATGAACATCCTGTCAGGGTGACTCATAATTATTTGAATTTGTCATGCTGTAATATGTACATGGCTATGGACACTCTACAGGGTAATTAAAAGCTGATTTCAAATCTCTGGTTTTTCTTCTGATGTGTACTAAGCTTCCAATTATACTAGCAGGGATTCTGAGCACTTGGGAAGGGAACTGATGTTGCAGATATGAGGTTCTGTTATTTAGAGGAATTCATCTTGGAACGACAATGTTACCTTACGTTACAGTTAGGCAACAGTAGAAAATACTCCTATGTAAGACCTAAATCAAAAGGGTCCATAAAATGTGGTGTAGGATCTCCATTTTCATCGCTGTTAGGAAAAGAGAAAATAAATCAGGTCATCTGAAATCCACTTTAAACCAGCTCCTAGGGTAAATCTTTTAAAAAGGCAATGGCTTTTTGGGCATGGGGTGCTTTCTGCCTGCAGTACCACAAGTTAGCAAATGCGTGTCTCTATTAGAGGTCTATAAGCTATGTTGCTATATACATACTGTACATGTTGGTTCACAAATTAGCAGTTATTAGTCAGACTGTACATGGCAAAACAAACCAGGTTTAATGTTGCTATACATCCCAAAGACAACCTGTGTCTAGATTCAAGGACTGACCCCTAATACAGGTTCTCTGTTTAAGTATGTAGCCCAGTAAACTAAATTAAATGTACCAAACAAAACTGGGAAAACTATTCTAGACATTCTGTCAATTTTGCTAACACTGTTGAAGGTTTTCTTGGCTTCGGCTGGCTTGTTTTCCGGCTTCTTGTTGGGTTCTGGCGTGGTTGCACTCTTGGAGATGGTGGAGAGAACTGGGTCTTTTGAAAGATTCGGGGCATAATTGGCAACTGCCACTGCATAAGCATTGTTCTGTATCATGACAGAGGCTTTTTCTTTTTTCTATTGAAAAATACAAGAATTAACAGAATGTGGGTTGAGACTGCTTCTTAATATTTTCCAAACTCCAGTTCAAATTCTGAAGAAAAGTATCTTGATAAGCATCATTATCCATTAGAAAGAAGGAATTTAGGGAAATAAATATAGTTTATTAAGTCCTAAAACCATGAGGGAGAGGAAACCCCCAGAGTAAATCAATGATATCATTTTCCTGGAGAACCATTTTCTTGTTGTTTACATGGAACACTGACAATCAAAAATACAACTTTAACAAATGACACATTTTTGACTCTTACAAGTCACTCAAATATTTGTTGAATGAATGTGTGAATGAATAAATGAAATGTAGACATAATTTAACATGAGGAATGATCATCTACAGTGAATGATCTCAAATTTTGAATTAATAATTTAATTTCTTTAACTTGATAACAAGATTTCTCCCCTTCATGTCAAAATCATACAGTAATGTTTTACTCAGATGGTAGGAAATTGTATCCATATACAGATGTTAGTGTAATAAATACTAAGAACATAGAAGGAAGATGAAATACAAACTTTTGGATTTCTGCCTAGCTCATCCACATGTTTCTCCTTATACTTCCCAGTTCAGTTCTCACCCACTTTAGTCTGGGTCACCGTTTTCTCCTGCCTGGACCAAGCAGCATTCCTTTGTACTCTTCCACTTGGCTTGACCTCATCCAATCATTAGTCAAACTACAACCCCCATGGGGACTTTTTAAAGACATAAATTGGATGGGGTCACCTGTCTGCTTAAATCTCTTAAATACCATCTCATGGAACTTAGAATAAAATCAACACTTCCTGCCATGGTGTCTTTTTTTGTTCGTTATATACCAGTCTCACTGAAATAACTTGCATTTGGAGGACTTCTTTGTTTGATGCCTTTGGCTATGCTACTTCTGATAGGGCCAGAGTAAAGGGACAAATTAGGTAATTAAATAGTTAATCCCACTAGGGGACTGTAAGTAAAGAAAAAATTATGGGAGACTCCTGTAAGTTAATGAACACTCTAGAAAGTAGGTTTGCTTAGCCACAAAACCAAGCAGGCTTGCTTAGCAACAAAACCATGAAACAGAAGCGCGAGACATGCCCCAAAACAATAAAACGATGGTGGCATGAGACCCACATCCTGCCCAGTGAGCTCAGTAAATTAATGTTTCCTAGGACACGTTCCTATATGCACACTAAAAACAAAAATATAAGGAAAGGTGACATACTAAAACCTGAGATGATTTCACATTTTTAGCATAAGTTACTGCCTTTTCGCTCATTTCCATTGAGGCATGACAGTCCCAGCTTGACCATGTAGGGACAAGAAAACTCCCCTGCCTGACATGGAGGAGGAATTGATGATAGAAGCATGACATCTACTCAAGAATGAGGAAGAAGGGGTTTTTTCCCCCTCCCACTGTTCCTTTGATTATAAAACAGTAGCCTGCTAAGTTCTTGGGGCACAGCACCCTCTGGCCTGCCTGCTTGTAATCCTCACAAGCATCCTATTCTAATACATCACGTCTTATCTATCTCTTTGTCTCTCACTTAATTCTTTCTGCACTGAGACATAAAGAACCGGAGCACGGAGTCCCCTGAAATGCCACCTAGTGTTTTCACTTCCTCATCCTGGAATGGCTTCCCTGCATCCCATTTTCCACATGATCAATACCCTCTCATATTGTGGTCTTGGTTGAAGTGTCATTTCCTCAGAAAGTACTTCCTAACCACTCTATCTAATGTCCTCCTGGCTCCCCATCTATACTCTTTAGGAGCACCCAGTTTACTTCCATCATGTCATTTTTCAAAATGAGTAAATTCTTTCTTTAGTTGTGTGATTATTTGACTGACATCTTCCTTTCCTACTAGAATCTAAGTTCATTGAAGGCTGGTGCTATTTCTGTCTTGTTCACCATTATAACCTTAGCATGATTCCTTCCATGAAGTAGGCAGGTAATATGTAACCAAATTAATGAAACCTGAAAATATTTACTCAACATTAAATAATAATATTTAATGAAACCTGGAAAACTATTTAACTGCACTTCTGTATTAATACAAACTCATTGCTAGTTATCTAAATGCAAACAAATTTGAGCCAGCAATGAATTATCCAAAATAGTGAATAGTGTAAATCAACAGATTTATAGGACCAACTGACCTAGAACAGAATTTCAAGTATCAGTATCTCACAATGTCCAAGTAAAATAAGATAACAAAGGGCCTCTGAAAGCCCAGGAGGATCTGTAAACAGGCCCAAGTTTCCTGTCCTTCACTGACACTGGGTTTCTCCCTCACCTCTTTCCCTTGCTGATAAGGCATTCTTCCAGAACTGGCTGGAGCAAAAAAGGAAAAGGGGTAAGGGATTACCATTTGTAGCTTTATGAAAGCTATAAAACAGCTTTTCTCATGTTACACATGGAGGGTAATCCTCAAGCATCTAACTGGTAGCAATGATAACTAACACCCTGTGAGCCCTAGGACGTGTCAGGTTGAGTGTTAAGCCTAAGGGTGTCATTGCTGACAAAATTCACTACTGGATAAGAAGTAAGTTCTATGTTGTAACCCCAGGTTACAAAATCAGAAACAGAAGCTAAAGAGGTTTTGTGACATGACCAGGTCTCCTGTCTACTAAGTGGCTAAAAAAGCACACAAACTCAAATGTGTGTGGCTTCCAAACCTCTGCTTGGAGCGTGCCTCATGACTACCTCTGAGGAAGCCTGTGAGTATCTTTTTCTCAAGATTTTCCAATTGAAGTTTATATTACTAGGTCAACCTTCTAAAAGGACTTTTTAACCCATAAAGTTCTGACATATAGTGTTTATACTGTTATTATTTCAGTTATACCTAAACATCACTTAAACTGATATCGAATTGCAGAGATTGGTCAATGCAGAATTCCTAGCAAAGTTCCTGGCACGGGGCAGGCTCAAAAAATGTTTGCTTCATGATAAATGAATGACATCTACTAGAATGATTACTGTGATTATATATATATATATATATATATATAAAGTATATAAGCATATAATGTATTTTATAGAATACAATAACCATTTATTAGATTAATAGAAATAGATTCTAATAGTGTGTTCTGCAATTCTATTATGTAATTATCCCAAAAGTCCTCAATTTCAACATCTATAGATGTAGGAGACTGAGAAATAATAAAATAAGCTCAACTGAAAAACAATGCTGTGGAATTTCCACGTTTGTGGAAACTGTTTCACTTGTGATTGAGACATATAAGAGGGAAGTGGGAAAATATGACTATACACTAAAACAACAAATGATTTATTTTTATACATTATCTGGGGAAAAAAAGTAAATTATGCTGCTTTAGAATCAGTGGATGCTGTTACTTAAGTGGAATGAAAAGGGAAGATAACCCATCCTAATTAAACTTTCTTTTTTTTTTTTTTTGTGGTACGTGGGCCTCTCACTGTTGTGGCCTCTCTCGTTGCGGAGCACAGGCTCCGGATGCGCAGGCTCAGCGGCCATGGCTCACGGGCCCAGCCGCTCCGCGGCATGTGGGTTCCTCCCGGACTGGGGCACGAACCCGTGTCCCCTGCATTGCCAGGCGGACTCTCAACCACTGCGCCACCAGGGAAGCCCTAAACTTTCTATTTTTTAAATGACGTTTTTTAAGAATCAGAATATTCTGAGGTTATTACTTTATTAGAGTGTCCAAATATATAATTAAAATGTTAAGTCTGGAAAATTCCTGATTACAGAAATCAAAACATCTTACATCATCGTGGCAAACCAGTTTTGGCTTTCTTGGAGTATTAGATAAAATGAAGTGTTAGTAAACTGAGCAAATGCTCTAGCTAAAATACAGACACCTAGTAGTGAAGTGACCTAGGATATAAATGAAAATAACAATCACATAGTTTCAGAGCTGGAAAGAATCTCAGAGACTGAATAAGGAAATGGAGCTTAGAATAAGGAAGTGGAGCTCTCATAAATACAACACTAAATACAACAGTCTTTGGAGAAAACCCCAGGTTTACAAAGTGGCAAATTTATGCTCTTTCTACATACCATGTTGCTTTTTTACAGTCATTGTGGCTACTAGAAAGCCCATTACTTGTAAAACAACAATATGCTCCCTTGTCAGATGCTATTGTTAACTGTCTGCTAACCATCCTGACTGAGAAAAGTGATACTTACAGAAGATTGTTTGAAGGTTATACAGTCCATCCACTTCTCTAAGTACTCTAAAGTCTTTCCTTGGATTAAACTGGGCCATGAGAAAGCTATATACTTGGACCATATTAGCTTAGCTCCTTGAAGAATTGCCTTCACTGAGTTGTATATTAATGTAATGCCTTCAGCTTTTATTGAAGGGGACTACACGAAACATCAATATAAAATTCATTACTGCTTTTACTGGGAAAATGTTGACATTACTTGCAATAGCATCCAACTTTCCCTAATATAAAACCCATATGATATTGTTTAAAAAAGAGATTTTTAGTATAGGACAATCGTTCTTTCTGAGGAAATTTATACATCCATTTTTTGGTTTAAGAAAGATAAGTTTCCCCCATGGTTTACTCTCATAGCCAAGAAGCTCAAGATTTGAATCTCAGCATAATCTACCTATGAACTACAGTTAATGTTCTGGCCCAAATGGTGGACATATTTGCAGTCTATTTTCCTTCATCCTGATTTTCTACTTCTATTTATATCTTATTATAATAATTTAAGTAATGCATTCTTTTGGTAAACTGCCTGAAATGCTTTTGGAACAAGGCATGATGTTTAAAAATGCATATAAATGAATAAAAGCACCTGAAATACAATGTTTTCTATGAATTGCATGGAGTGAATCACAAAACAATGGCACATTTCATGTTAGTTTGGATATTATGGTGCTATGCCTATATTTCAAGTAATTTAATATATAGTGTATTTCCAGAGAATATGCTTTTCTTGGCCAGTGTAGAACAACTGACTCAGATTTAGAAATAAAAACAATCTCGAGACAAAAGGTATTTTTAAAAATTTAATTCAAATAAACTATGTGCTAAATGCTATGTCAGGTATTGGCAGAGAAATAATGAATAAGACAAAACTATTATCCTCTTAGATCAGGTAACCTACTGTTAGAAACAGATTTGTTTATAATAAAAGTATAATTTAATGAGGTTACATAAAAGAAATTCATGCCAGGTACTGTAGAAGGATAATGGGAGGATGGCAATTAGATACAATTGGATAGATTTGAAGGAATAAGTAGTTCATCAGTTAGAAAAGAAAGGAGAGGGCATTTTAGCAAGAGGGCTGAACACATCTAATGCCATGGAGATGTGTAGGGGCATGGAATTGGGAGATGTTTTTAATGGCTAGAGGAAGCATATGAGCATGGACTTTAGATTTGTGTTCAATCTTGGATTCACCACTTATTAGATGTGTGATCCTGAGCAAGTAACTTTACTTGACCAATCTTATATTTCTTCATTTCTAACATGGAGATATTCCCAGGCACATAGTAGTAAGTGCACAATAAATAACACACACACAAAATTTCTTATTATTCATCATGTAAACAAATATATGAGAAGGCTATATATTTGGACCATATTAGCTGAGCTGCTTGAAGAATTGCTTTTAAAAATTCATTAAAGAGCTGAAAAATTAAATGAACAGATTTCTGTTTTAGAAAGATAACTCTGGCGCTACTATAGAGGATGGATTAAAGGGAGACATGATTTAGAGATAATGAGGAATAAAGAGTCTCAAAATAATGAGAGATGGCAAGGGCATGGTCTATGACATATAGGTAGGAGAATGGACACAATTCAATGACTGATTAGGTCTTAAGGGTAACTTCCAAGTTGTTGGTTTCTGAGATTAGGTTTTGCCATGAACTAAGGTATATATGAAAAAAAAATGTAGGCATTTAGGAGATTTTTTGTTTGTTCTTTCTTTCACCTTTTAAAAGAGATATGTAAAGACTGAAATGTCATATTCATGTAGAAATGCCTAAGGAAGAGGTTGGATATATGAGCTTGGAAGTTAAAAGAAAGGTATGGAGTATAGCTGTAGATAATAACTGTGGAAGGTAAGATAAAGGTGTTGGCTGTAGTTGTGATTTGGTTACACTTCATTAATTCACACCATATTTATTGAGCAACTAATATATACTAGGCCCTGTGCGAAGGGACAAGGATAAATGATTTATTAAAATAAACATGGTCATTGTTATCATGATCAGTGAAGGAGGTGGTATATAAGCGTGCAGTTACAAACTGTGGTAAAGAATTAAATGCAAAAGAGCAGGATACTATACACACTTATAAAGTGATCTAATTATTCAGGGGTGTGGGGAGCAAGTGTTCAGAAATTTCCTGAGCATTGGTATATGTGCTGAAGATGAGTGGGTTTTACCTATTTGGATATAATAAATAATGAACAGTGTTGCTGACATTCCTACAAGTATTGTCAGTAAAATCCTTAAAGTGAGAATCACATATGAATAGTAAAAACAAAAACATAAAATAAATGTAAATGACTATCTTTGGGGATAAACAACAGCAGATGCTAAGGAGATTGGATCTACTCTGAACTCAGGCAAAGAACCTCAAAGAACAGAATGAATAGTGGTAGCTGCCAAGATTTGAGGAAGGAAGTTGATATTCTAAGGCCTGTTTTAAAGGCCTAACAGAAGAGAAAAAGTTGCTGACTTGGGCCTGAAATGGAATCTTGGAGTATAACAGTATTCAATGGATTCAATGGGGATCCCTTAAGAATGGAAAATTATCTTATCTGAAAATGTAGAGGTCGTTGCTGTCCTTCAGTTATAGGACAATGAATGGAAAGAATTACAGTGAGCTGAGAATTAAACTAGAAGTGAGAACATACACATTATAAGCAATGTTTTCAAAAAGCTTGAATGGAGAAAAAGAGGGTGGAATCTGATAATGGGGGAATGGGTGACATACAATCTGGAGAGAGTTTTGGTTTTGCCTTTATGGTAAATTAAACATATTAAGCATCTTCAGAAACTTAAAGCAAGGAGACAGTTGAAAAGGAGAAGATAGCTTTGAAGAAGTAAGAGAAGAAAATAATAACTGATGCTTCAAGATTGAAAAAGGGACAAGAAGAAAAGAATCAAGAGATGGGGTGGAAGTCTTGAGGAAGTGGAAGAACACTGGGTGTAAGAGAAGGTTCCAGAATTACTTGGGAGGTTGCATAAGTAGATATTTTCTTATATGGAAGGGCATAAATATTTGCCCTTCCATATAAGTTGGATTATTTGATCCACCACTACATTTTTAGAATGATAAAATTTTGTTGACTAATTTCACACCTGAGGCTAAAGGTGTAGTGTACACACTTGTGCAAGTTCACAGAGCAAGGTAGGCTTTGTCTTCTAATAGAGGGCTCAAATGTGTCTTGAATAGGAAGTGAGTGGATTTATTTGCAAAAACTAACTAAAGATCAACAGAGCACAACCTACATGAAAACTGTATGTTAAATACATATCTCTTTCTTTCAAACATATAATATTAATATGAATCTCTGAGTGATTATTCTTATGAGACAAATTAATACTTGCCAGTTAACAAACCTTTAATAACTTTTTATATACTCTTTGGATTGACAGATAATTTAAGTGCATTTACTCATGTTTACTAACTTCAAAAAAGAGGACTTCCTCCAGTCTGGTTAAACTGAAAGGATGCCAATTTGGCTGATGGATAAAAACTTTGTATTTCAGGAAAATTATTGTTCTCCACTTAATTAAATCTAAGGATAACTAAAGCAGAGGTAAATTGCACTGAAATATTTTTTTTAGGCATACGTGCTAGTTTGGGGCACTATACTAGATTTCCTTTTAGTTCTAAGGACCTGGTTACTTCCAAGGTAGGTTTAGGAAATACCTCCCCAGATTCATTTCAATCATGAAAATGGATTGAGTACCCATTGATAAATTCACCACTGTAAAGTTTTAAAAGTCCTTCCATGAAAGCAAAGAAGTCTTCTCATTGGTATTACATTGCCAGATTTAACATCAGAAACTTATTTATTCTTTTATTCAACAAAACTTTCTGAAGTGCCTACTAAGTGACAGGCACTGTGCTTGGCACTCTAGCTGTGGAAAAGTGATTAAGAACAAGCAAGGTGACTGATTCCCTTTAACTTATCCACTGAACTTGAACCACTTATTACTGAAATAATACAAATTTTTTAGTTGTATTCCTGCAAATTAGGTTGGATCATTAATGATTTCAACCTAGATTTAGCTTCACTATGTGTGATCTGCTATGTGGGTGGAGTTAAATCCAGTATTCATCAGTAGTAGGTTATTGCTTTTAGAATGCATTATCAAGAATGTGTTTTTCGCATTTATAGGTACTTCTCTTTTCCAAGTTCAGGGGGTGAGAAGGCATATTATTTGATATGCCAAATCACAATATCAATTTGATTGACACCCTCATCGCAATAAAAATAATATATCAGTATATTTCTACACAGGGCATTTACACTACAAACCACTATTTATCTTTTGTGACATATTTACAAAGCATTTTATCTTCAAAAAAAGTTAGTATGAAAGTGCATGTGTAACTAATATAAAAAGAAGTAATTGCATAGGTAGCAATAGAAAAGCAGTATATTTTATGGGGAATGAAAACATCAATCAACAGTAAAATGCAATGGAAATGGTAAAATAACCTAGAAGTTAAGCGTGGAAAATTAATCAGATTCCCTTTAATATTTACTCATTGGCTATTAGTATACAAAACATAGCTTATAAAATGAAATAAACCAGCAGTCTTATGAGAACTTTTACAGTTTACAAAATTAGGGAAAAAGAGCAAGACTTTTAAACTATAACATCAACTGTTTGTACGCTTTAACTGCAACATTGTCATAGAAATTTGAAAAAAAAATTTGTATTCAAATAACTGAAAAGGAAAATCAGCAAGTATGTTATTCCAAATTTAATGGAAGCGTATTCAGGTAGACATTTTATTAAAAAGGAGCCCTCCAAGTAGAACTTTTTACTATTATTAAGACTACATTATATCTCATTGTGACATATACAAAACCTCCTCTTAAGACAGATGAATAATAATCTATAGACTAAGAAAGGAAATGGCTATTTATCAATGCACAAAACTCCCACTTCCTTCAGTACTTGAAACCTAAAAATAGACACCTGAAATAATTACCAAAGAAGTTAATCTTCAAAACAAATACTTTTTCTCCTATAGACTTCAGGAGCAACTTAAAATGTCTAGGCATTTCTACCTAGTTACTTATTCCATACAACATGGGAGAGATTACGATGCTGCCAGTCTTTTACATCCAAGCAACAGAGATGGGGGTAGGTGAAGAGTAACTCAGCCCACTTGATAGGGCCTAAAATTCTATAACTGAGAAAGTTAATGCCCACTTTTCTTTTCCAAATCTTTTCCCTATAAACCAGCGTGGTTAAGAGCATGAATTTAACGGTCAGGCAGATCTGGGTTTAAGTATACTTATTAACTTGTGTGAGCTTGAGCACGTAAATAACCTCACTAAGCCATCCATAGCTTCTTCATCAGAAAAAAATGAGAATTAAAAAGAAACCCTAGTTATAAAGTTGTAAAGATTACATGAGAGAACATATCTAAAAAACTTAGCACGGTGCCTGACACACAGAGCTCAAAAGATGCTAGGAAGTGGTTTTAACAGAAGTAATACTACCAGCACTCCTAAAGGATTTCAGGCAAGAGCGTACTTTGAAAGAAATCTTTTATGTTTGAATGTTCTTAATATCAGTTTTGAGGAACAGTATCTGTTGCAAGCTAAATCTGTTGGAGGATTCTCTTAATCACGGTGAGAAGGAAGTTCTCACTTACCTTGTCATTTACTACACTCTTTCCATCCCAAGCCCATCCTCTTTTGGTGAAGTAATTAACAGTTGCAAATTCAATTAGGGCAGAGAACACAAATGCATAACAAACAGCAATAAACCAGTCCATGGCAGTTGCATAAGCCACTTTGGGGAGAGAATTCCGAGCACTGATGCTTAGAGTTGTCATTGTTAGAACAGTTGTTACTCCTGCAGAAAGATAGGAAGCAAAAACATCAACAAATACCAGCAGGATAGCATTGGAAATACTTTTTTTTTCCTTTCCCAAAGGTACTTTCAGTGCCACCTCTAGCCATTAAAAAAGCAAACAAAAATCTTCAGAAAGAAAACAGTGCAAAGTTAATTATTGTAAATGGTTATTATACTTTTTGAAGTGATGACTCTGAAATGCTTTCATTTTCCATTTTTGTTTGTATGAATCTCCTTTTTCTCTTAAATACCGTTGAGGTTAGAAAGACTGGTGAAACTGAAATAGAATTTCCTACGAGGAAAGAAGGACTTGAAATTGACCAATTGTCCATTAACATTAATTAAAAAAAAATCTTTCACAAAGCCTCACATTAATTTGTTCATCATTTATTTGAATCATTCTAAGCAGACGACCAATCATCCACACTAGTAGTCACAATAGAACTATGATTAAGAAGTTCTTCATTCTAAGTATAGCTACCTAAGGATGAAATTAATTCTGGATTGCCTAGCATTGTGAGGACATAATTTCTTTCATAATGCAGCTTAGAATCTTCAGAAAATAAAACAAGCAACTAAATCCCAAACCTTATAAAATTTAAATCACTAAAAAGGTATATTATATACCTTTGTTGGTTTAATAAGTAATTTCGTTCCTTGCATTATAAAGCTTTTCTGCCTATAGTCTGGGAAGTCACAGTGGTTAAGTAAAAAGAAAGCAATAACTCAGAAGCCAGTCACAGTATCAGCAGGTCAAAATGTCTACAATTACCTGGTTTATCAGAGATTCAAGAGAGGATTAATTATGTACATAGGGGATACATTAAATTAAAAGACAACTGAAATGTTAAAGAAATGTTCATTCATATACTGAAATTTTTTATATTTAATTTTTACTTTCCCTTAGGATAAATAAAACAGCCTTTTTTCTCACTTACCATAGAGTTAGAAGTTCAAAATAGCAATAATTCTATTTAATCATGAGTGAATGCATCTGGGAATATGATGGTAGTAGTAGGGATAAAAAGTAGAAAAATAAATTTATCTCACCTGCTGCTGAGTCAATATTAAAAAACACATTTACAGAAATACATTGTGTTTGCATGCATCAAACTGTGAAAGGTTTTAGATGGTGTCTTCTTTTGAGAATTTGGTAGAGGAGAATAATTAAATAGAACACATGCCAGATACACCTACACATACCCACAAACACAACCATATCCACCTGTACACACACACACACACACACACACACACACACACACACACATGTACATGGCAATGAAAATGATGAATCAATATATGAAACTATATTTAACTTCACCAGCAGTCAGGGAAAAAAAAAGCAATAATGAGATACCTTTTCAAAACAATATTATCAGCAAAATGTTAGCAAAACTTTAAAAGATTGATACTATCCTGGCATTGAAGAGGATGTGGGGCAATTGACATTCTCTTTAACAGGGGTTACAAATATCTAAGAGACTGTTGCCTAATCTGAGGTCATAAAGATTTAGGCCTATATTTTCTTTTGAGTTTTATAGTTTTAGTTCTTACATTTAGGTCTTTGGTCCTTTTTGAGGTGATTTTTGTGTATGGTAGATGTCCAAATTCATTCTTTCTCATGTGGATAGCCAGTGGACCCAGCAACATTTGCTGAAAAGACTTTTCTTTCCCCATTAAATGATCTTAGCACTGTTGATGAAATCAATTGATCATAGATATATGGGTTTACTCTGGACTTTCAATTCTATTTCATTAATCTACATGTCTGTCCTTATGCAAACTTCACAGTTTTGATAACTTACAGCTTTAGAGTAAGTGCTGAAATTGGGAAGCAGGAGTTCTCCAAATTTCTTATTCTTTTTTTTTTTTTTTTTTTCAAATTTCTTATTCTTTTTAAAGATTGTTTTAGCTTTTCAGGGTCCCTTACACTTTCCTATGATTTTATGGTCAGTTGCTCATTTTTTCAAAAATGGTCACTGGAGTTTTGGTAGGTATTGCATTGAATCCCTTGTTTGGGGAAGTATTACCATCTTAACTACATTAAGTCTTCCAAGTCCCAAACATGGGATACATATCTATCCATTTTAATCACATATACATATATCATCTCCATTTATTTAGAACTTTAATTTCTTTCGGCAACATTTTTTTTTTTTTTTTTTTTTTTTTGCGGTACACGGGCCTCTCACTGCGTGGCCTCTCCCGTTGCAGAGCACAGGCTCCGGACGCGCAGGCTCAGCGGCCATGGCTCACGGGCCCAGCCGCTCCGCGGCATGTGGGATCCTCCCAGACCGGGGCACGAACCCGTGTCCCCTGTATCGGCAGGCGGACTCTAAATCACTGCGCCACCAGGGAAGCCCTCGCAACATTTTATAGTTCTCAGTATACAAGTTTTTCATCTTTAAACTTAAATTTATTTATAGGCATTTTATTCATTTGGCTGTTACATAACTAAAAATAGCTTCTTCTTAATTTCCTTTTCAGATTGTTCATTGCTACTATATACAAACAAAACTGATTTTTTTAATGTTGAGCTTGTACCCCGAAACTTTGCTGAATGTATTAGCTCTAATAGTTTTTATGTGGCTTAATAAAAGTTTTCTATGTATAAGAACATGTGATCATGTGATCTGCAAATACAGTTTTACTTCTTCCTTTCCAAATTGGATGCCTTTTATTTGTTTTTCTTGCCTAACTGCCCTAACTAAAGCCTGAAGTATGATGTTGAATAGAATTAGTGAAAGCAGACATCCTTGTCTTGTTCCTGATGTTAGAGCAAAAACTTTTAATCTTTCACCTCTAAGTGTGATGTTAGCTTTTCTTTGATCCTCTTTGTTGGGTTAAAAAGTCCTTTTCTAGTGCCAGTTTGTTGACTGTTTTTATCATGAAATGTGTTTCATTTTGTTTTTCAGAATCTACTGAGATGATTTTGTGTTTTTTCATATTTCATAAATATGTTTGGTATTACATTGATTGCTTTTTGTATGTTGAACCAACCTTACATTCCTGAGGTAAACTCTACTTGGTCACAGTGCGCAATCCTTTGTATATGTGGCTGGTTTCAGTTTGTTAGTTTCTTGTTGAGGACATTAACATCTATATTCATAAGGGATGTTGATCTGCAGGGTTTTTTATTTCCCTTGTGATTTCTTTGTCTGGTTTTGATATCTTGGCAAAATGGCTCTATAGAATGAGTCAAGAAGTTCCCTCATCTATTTTTTCAAAGAGTTTGAGAAAGAATGGTGTTAGTTCTTTCAATATTTGGTAGAATTAACCAGGAAAGCCATCGACCTTAGGCTTTTATAGATTTTTTTGATTACCCACTTCATGGCTTTACTTGTTATAGATTTATTCAGACTCTTCAGTCAACTTTGGTAACTTTCTGATTTGAGGAATTCGTCCAGGTTATATAATTTTTTGGCATACAGTTGTTCACAGGTTCCCTTATAATTCTTTTTATTTCTACAAGGTCAGTTGTAATGTGCCCTCTTATTTTCTGATTTTAAAATTTTGAGTCTTCTCTCTTTTTTATCTTGATCAGTCTAGCTAAAGTAAAGACTTGACAATTTTGTTGACATTTTCAAAAACCAACTTATGGTTCTATGTTGATTTTCTCTATTGTTATTTCCTTTCTCTATTCCATTTATCTCTGTTCTAATTTTTATTAATTCCCTCCTTCTTACTTTGGGTTGCGTATGCACTTTTTTTTTTTTTAGTTTTTAAGGTGGAAAGTCAGAATATTAATTTGAGATCTAAAAAAAATAATGTAGATGTTTACAACCATAAAATTCTCTTTGAGAAATGCCTTTGTTGTATCCCACAAGTTACAGTATGTTGTATTTTTATTTCCATCCATTCTAAAGTATTTTCTACCATCTCTTGTGATTTCTTCTTTGACCCAATGGTTATTTAGAAGTTTCTTATTTAATTTCTACATATTTGTAAATTTTCAAATTTTTATCTATTATTGATTTCTAATTTCATTCCATTGTGGTCAGAGAACATGCATTGTATGATTTCAATCTTTAAATTTATTGAGAATTGTTTGTGGACTAATGCATTGTCTTCCTGAAGAATGTTCCATGTACACTTAAGAAGAATGTACATTCTGCTTTTTTTGGATGGAGTATTCTATAGATGTCTGCTAGATATGGCTGGCTTATACTGACATTCAAGTCTTCTACCTTCTAGTTCTAGCCACTATTGAAAGTGGGGCATTGAACTCTTCAACTATCATTTTTGGACTGTTAATTTCTCCCTTCAATTTTGTCGTTATAGTCATGTATTTTTAGGCTTTTTTGTTGGGTGCATATACATTTATAATTGTTATAACTTCTTGATTGACTCTTTTATCATTATTTTATATTCTTATTTGCCTCTGGGAAAGTTTATTGTTTCAAAATCCATTTTGTCTGTTACCAGTGTGGACAGTCAAGCTCTTTTTTTGGTTATATACTATTTCCATCCTTTTATTTTACCCTTATTTGTATCTTTGAATTTAAAGTTAGTCTCTTGTAGACAACATATAGTAGGATCATGTTTTATTTTTTGTTTTTTATCCATTCAGCCAATTTCTGCATTTTAACTGATGGATTTAATCTATTCACATATAGCATAATTTCTGGTAAGAGAAAAGTTACTTCTGCCATTTTCTATTTATTTTCTATAGGTATTTTATATTTTTATTTCTTAGTTCCTTCATTACTTCCTTATCTTGTGTTAGATATTTTTTAATGTACCATTTTAATTCCCTTGCTATTTCTTTTACTATATGTGTTTGAGTTACTCTCTTAGTGTTTGCCCTTGGGGATTAAAATGTCTAATTTGAATTAATACCAGCTAAATATCAAGAGTATACTAAAAATTGCTCCTTTATAGCTCCATACCCCTCTTTATGCTGTTATTATCACAAATTACATTTTTACATTGTGTGCCCATCAATATAGACGTACAATTCTTGCTTTGTGCAGTTGTCTTTCAAATCAGAAATAAGG